CATCAGCTATTCTTTCCATCTTTATAATTCACGTTCTTTCACAAACTGTTTTAAAGGGGAAACAATTCTGATGGGAAAATTCTAATAGAGAGAATAAGTAATTGCAAGTCTCTACAACAGAAGTGTTATATTTTCATGCAAGTCTATAAGTTGCTCATTTCAAGTTCCTTTGTAAATGCTGCTGCAGCTTCTTGACCATAGGAGACAAACGTCACTCGTGCATTTCCTCCTCTCACATCCTAACAGTGTTCCAATCACCCATCTGTTGGATTCAAAAGGGACACTACTGCATGGCCACCAGAAAGCATATTTGGTATCACCAAGGAAGGTTCTATGACTTCTGCAAACACAAGACCTCTATAAAGTCCAGTATCAATATCACAGCTGACAAGTTTATATTTCATACAATTATGGCTTCTACAGTGCACTGCTGCCCTAACACCATTCTTACTTGTCTCAGATGTTAAGCGAGAGCTGTCTCTTCCAGGAGGGCCGCGTCACCAAAGACAAGGATTGTTCACTTTAGGTTTCTTGCACTGGAAGTTAGATGGAGAATTTGAGGGTTTGTGTGTACAGGTGATATGGATATCTTTTGGTTTGTTTGTATGCTATTCTTTCATTCAAACCTACCTAGACTGTAAGATCTATGGGAGATGCCCTTGTCTGTCCAGCCAACATCAGAGTCACATTTTGTGAGTACACAAAAGGAAGCCTTTTTGGTGGACACTTCCAGACTTTGGAACTCCCTGCTAAAAGAGGCTAGGTTGGTCACCTGCCTGATGTCCTTTGACAGACAGACAACAACCTTCCCATTTAGCCAGGCCTTCAGCAATTGAGAAGTTGATATGCTGTGATTTTCTATAGTTTCACTGTAAATATTATTTTAAACGAGGGGCTTATAAATGGTTTTTAATTCTACTCAGTTTTAAAATTTATTTATTTATTTATTTTGAGGGGCTTATAAATGGTTTTTAATTCTATTCAGTTTTAAAATGTTAATTTGATTGTGTTTTAATGTTTATAGTACATTGCATTTTTAATTCTACTGTCCGCTATGGTATTCCCAGTTACTATGATTGTGAAGGACGGACAGTAAACAAAGCTGACAGGAAAAAACTGACTCATTTGAATGTTCACTTGGATGTTCCAGGGCAGCTTTAGACACCACAGACCATGAAAAAAAACACACACAAATAAATGGGTTGCAGATCAAACCAACCCTCACTTCTCTAAAATGACTGCACTGAGTATCATAGGCAAGCCTCTCTTAAAATCACAATATTGATAGGAAATGTGGAAGGCAGAGGGAAAAGAGAAAACCCTAATGATAGAAGGACTGACTTAGTAAAGGAGGTTGCAGACTAGTTTCCGAGGTCCAAACAGTGCTGCTAAATACAGGATATTTTGGAAGTAAGTCATTATTAGGGTCACCATGGATGAGCTGATGGCAGCTGCAGCCCACGAAAAAAACTAGCTAACTAATTAAATAAATAAAAATCTTGGTCCACAGCAACATGTTTTTTCCCCTCTTTCTCCAGACTTCCTGGGATCATCTGAAGATCTGAGGAATACTGGGATCAGTATGGTGATGACATAGAACCCTTTTAGGTCATTCATGTCACAAGCAGATGTGATGATGGAGATGCTAAACGCACGAAAGGCATGATAATGCTCCATATGAACCCAAGAAACTGAAGTCTGATCTAGATAAAACAGGGACACAGTCATGATGTGGTTCCTTGATCTAAGGATGGTTTGTGCAGTAGTTCTTAATGGTGTCAGATTCTTCCCACATTAGTAGTTATAAAAAAAAATCAGAAAGTCCAACAGCCAAACTTTTGAACAGAACTGCTTCATAGTAATCTGTCTGCATTGGCTACTTACTTGATTCAAATACAAAGTGCTAGTTGTACCCTGTAAAGAAGGGGTGTGCAAAATGAAGCTTGCAGGCCACATGAAAATGCCAGAAAACAAATTTGCAGCCACAACAGTCTTGCATACAGTACCCCCCCAAAAAAATACACATATTATTCAATAATCTGTTTACTTCCAAACAAGTACACACATTATGGAACATTTGCTCAAAAGTGCTCTGAAAGCAGCAGAGGGGACATTTTGCTACAAGACATTTTATTCAGACAAATGCTTTTTTGGGGGGTGGGGTCCACTAGAAAGTTTCATGGGTGTTTTGTTAGAAAAATATCTGGGCAGGATAGGGTAGGGGGGCCAGTTTCCCCCCCCCAAAAAAAAGATATAAAGTCTTGAAAATTTTATAAGGTCTAAAGTCTGCCTTGTCACATATGACCCAGGACACTGAGAATGACATATATGGCTATACTGGCAGTAATGCACTGAGAGATGCCAGGACACTGGTGACAAAAGAATAACCTTACTCCACCCCCTTAGTCCCCTGAAAACAGCTGAATGTGTCTGATGAAGATATTTACGTTTTCTTGGTCATCCAATTATTTGCTCCTATGGAGATGATGTGAAGGTGATGGCATTCCAGTTGAATTATTTCAAATCTTAAAAGATGATGCTGTTAAGGTGCTACACACTATATACCAGCCATTTTGGAAAACTCAGCAGTGGCCAGAGGATTGGAAAAGATCATTATACATCCCAATCCTAAAGAAGGCCAGTGCCAAAGAATGCTCCGACTACCGTACAATTGCACTCATTTCACACCCTAGGAAGGTTATGCTCAAAATCCTACAAGGTAGGCTTCAGCAGTATGTGGACTGAGAACCCCCAGAAGTAGAAGCTGGATTTCAAAGGGGCAGAGGAACTGGAGACTAAATTGCAAACATGGACTAGATTATGGAGAAAGCCAGTGAGTTCCAGAAAAACATCTATTTCTGCTTCATTGACTATGGACCACAACAAACTATGGCAAGTTCTTAAAGAAATGGGAGTGCCTTATCACTTTATCTATCTCCTGAGAAATCTATATGTGGGACAGGAAGCAACAGTTAGAACTGGATATGGAACAACT